TTGAGCCTTGTGTGATGTGTGAGCATCTTGATAAAAGATGTTCTTTCCGGTTAAGTCAGGTATACTTTGTTTTTCAAAATATGTCCTTTTTCAATGTAGATTTCCAGTGATACTGTCTTTGCTTGCAGATAGAAGATGGGGATATTATATGCTTTCAGAAGTCTCTTCCAATTGCAAGTCAAGAAGCATGCCAGTATCCAGATGTGCCTTCATTTCTGGAATATGTGCACAATCGTCAGGTACTATTACTATGTGGAGATTTGCTAAATATTTTATTGGTATTTCTCAGTTTTTGGTTAACTGATTTTATTCTGGGTGTCTGATAGTTGTTTATATCATGCCCTATGTCGTCCTTTCTGTGAAGCAATGGAAATCCGCATCTCCAACCGGTATTAATTTTGTAAAACAGTATGTAAAAGATATAGCACCAGAGAGGAAAGGAGATGCCTATTTTCTATACTAGGTTCTTGAGATCTTTCATTCTTTCACGGTGTCAAATTTTTATTGTCAAAGGAAAAATGTTGTGTCAAATTGATGGCTGTTTCTATTTAATTTAAACCAGCTGTTTACTCTTAAAGATCTTATCATTTTTATTTTTGAAGAAACTGCATTGAACCTAACATTGTAGGTTCTATAGGCATAAGTTTTGAGATTGTTCCTGAGAATTGTGAGCAACAATTTTAATCTTCTCTTCTAATAAGCATTCCTATTATTAGTGTTATTGTTATTAATTTCATTTGTGCTCAGATTCTTGTTACTCAATTAAGTTGTTTTTGTGAATTGATGCTACTTAGATTGTTCATTTTCGCTCTCTGGAGAGACTGAAAGAAGATGATTTCTGTCTAGAGTTGTAAGTACTTATAATGCAAACTACTCTTCATATAGTAGAATTGTTACTTACAGTTGTTAGATACTTATACTCAGTTTCTTCGATAACATTCAAGGTCAAAGATACATACTTATGATGATGTTGTGGAAAGAGTGGCTCAGAAAATTGGTATGGATGATCCATCCAAAATCAGACTCACATCTCACAACTGCTACTCCCAACAACCGAAGCCTCAACCTATCAGATATCGAGGAGTAGAGAATCTGTCAGAAATGTTGATCCACTATAACCAGGTAGCACTTATGGGTTTGACATCTTGATATGTTTCTTCCTTTTAGTTTTATGTAAAATATATATCGACTGATTATTTTTGTATATTTTAATACAGACTTGTGACATTTTGTATTATGAAGTTCTGGATATCCCTTTGCCAGAATTGCAAGGTCTGAAAAACTTGAAAGTTGCTTTCCATCATGCTACTAAGGATGAAGTAAGTATAGAGTCTGTATTTATTCTTCCCAGTTTCATCTTCTTTTACGTTCTTTCAGTGTTGATAGGCCGTTGTGGTAACAATTTTCAGGATGATTTTCAGGTGGTAATTCACAATATTAGATTGCCTAAAGAGAGCACTATTGCGGATGTGATTGATGAACTTAAGACAAAGGTACGTTTTGGTTACTACTGTTTTATATTCTGAATACCTGACGCCTAGAAATAGATAGTGTTATTAATGATGATGGGCTCAAGTAGCTCAGTTTTTGCAATGACTGTGTCTTCTCTTTTTGACAAAATCATTTTCTGCTCTCCCTTTATCGAAGTAAAAGTAACAATTGTATGAACATGCATTCAAGAACCAGCTAGAATCTTCGCATATTCCTTGTTATATGAAAGATTTTATTTATATTGCGTTAATGCATAATCTCCCATCTGAGGCGGTATTATCTTTTTTTAACTTCTCTTACAACTTGAAGTTCATACTGAGTTACAGCTGTACTTTTCTATGCACTCTGAAACAGGTGGAGTTGTCACACCCTAATGCAGAGCTCAGACTGCTTGAAGTCTTCTATCACAAGATCTACAAGGTTGAAAATGGTTGAAATCTGATAGCTAGTTGCAGTTTAGATTGTATATAAAAATGTTCTAGACTATTGAATTTTAAGTCTCCTATTGTGATGGAAGAAAAGTATGTTTTCCTTCTGTGTTCATTGTTATTCCATCTCATTTTTTTTCTTTTTTTTTTCCAGATCTTTCCTTCCAGTGAAAAGATTGAGAACATAAATGATCAGTATTGGACATTGCGTGCTGAAGAGGCAAGTTTTCCTTTTTCCATCCTGATGAAGTAAATAGATGGGATGGGCCGTTCTTTATTGAAATTATGGGGTTGTAGCTTTTGTAGTGGTTCACAACTTAAACTTTTAAGAATGACCTTCCTGTAGCATGTACCAGGTAGACATTTGCGCAGTTGAGTAGATGCAACTAGCATTTTTTTTATAATCTTTCTTGTATTTAAAGGAGAAACCTCTAAAGTTGTATGTATGTATGTTCGAGTGTGTATGTATCTGGCATGACATGAGAATGAGTGAAATGTTTTGAATTTCAAAATGGATACTTGCCATTGATGAAGAAAAGTGACATGCATGGTGGAACAAGTGCTGTTCACTAAAATTGGTTTATTATATAGGGAGTATGGCATTCTAAAATGCTGTATCTCACCTTAGATCTAACTTTTTCATTTTCATCAAATCTCAGATCCCAGAAGAAGAAAAGATTCTCGGTCCAAATGATCGATTGATCCATGTCTACCACTTTAGCAATGAGACTGCTCAGAACCAGATGGTATTCTTCATGAATGAATTGATAAATATTCATGATCTGTTTCCACTTTGTAGATATTTTGGTGGAATGGTAGCGCTATTTAACATGATTTTTCCTTTTTCTTAAACAGCAAGTGCAAAATTTTGGTGAGCCCTTTTTTTTGATCATTCATGAAGGTGAAACTCTGGCTGAAGTTAAATTGCGGATACAAAAAAAATTGCAGGTTCCTGATGAAGAGTTCTCCAAGGTGTTTTCATTATTATCTTGCTCTAGATATTCCCTTCTTTCATTTTAAATTTTCCCTTGAACTTAATAATTTAGCTTTTTTATTCTCTTTTGACTCCCTTTTCTTGATGTCTTTCCCATCTCTTTGTTCAGTGGAAGTTTGCATTCATGTCACTGGGTCGACCAGAGTATCTACAGGACTCTGACATTTTGTTCAAACGTTTTCAGGTATATCTTGTTTTTCTTCACTTTCTGTCATTACATTTGATTACACCTATATTTATGTAATTTCCATTTTTGTGCAAAGCACTGTTTTAATTTATTTTTGCATACGTTTCAGAGAAGAGATGTTTATGGTGCTTGGGAGCAATACCTGGGGTTAGAGCATTCTGATACCTCTCCCAAAAGGACTTACGTAAATCAGGTACTACAGTTTTGACTTTAGTGGAAACCCATATGCTAATACATTTTCTAGTATGCTTTATTGCCGTTTTTCTTAATATATACTCTGTGTAGCACTTGTAATTGTAAGTTGGATATAATTATTGCAGAACCGACACACATTTGAGAAACCAGTTAAAATATACAACTAGTAGAAAGCTAACTATGTATATGTGGAGATCCTTCAAATGATGGGCATTGTAGATACATGGAGAAAAATACAAGGGAATGACGCATTGGAGGAAATAGTTGAAGCTTTTGTTAGAGAGAATTGAAGTTGGACTTGGCTATTAGTTTTTATAGGATATATATATATTATTAGTTTGCATGTGGATGGAGGGAAGATTTTCTTTGATGTAGTGTTTTGACAGTGCTGGTATTGATACACACCTAGTTTGTACTGTATTGCCTTCGTCTGTTTCTCACCCTTTAAGGAAGGCACATGCTGCTGCTGTCTTTCCTTTCTGTATGTAATTTAACAGCACATACAAAGATTTTTGACCTGATATATTTATCGGGTATAGCTGGTTGCAGATGACATTTCTTATTTTATTTTCCACCTCTTTTTTCTTGCTGCTTAGAGAGGGATTGTGGTTGCCAGAAATATACTGTTCCCGCAGTATATTATTCTCCTTTAGAGGTCATTGATTTTTTTCTCAAGCTAGCCTTGATGAAATTCTCAAAGCTTCAACTCAAGAATTGGTATGTATAAACCTTAAGCGTAGCATACTGAACGTTACTAATAGATTTTTTTATTTTTATTTTTAAAAAAAAGCTTAAAGTATCTTTTAGTCCTCGAGTTGTACTGCTTTTTCCAAGTTGCTTCTTTAATGGTTTTTAAGTCTCAAGGGTCATTGAAAGTGTTTTTTTTTTCAACTTTAAAAAGTATTTCCATTATATTCATTAACTAATAGCATTATTAAGCACATGATCATGTAAAAGTTACGGATAATCTAATATATCAAATCGAAAAGAAATTAGACAACCTAAAGACCAATGCGACAATTGATCTGGTACGATGTTTCCCATTCGGGCCGTATAAGCAATTCTAACTGTAGTAGAGGAGATGTAGGCCCAAAATGGACAAACTGGGTGTTTAGTTTGGAAATTATGGCTGGCTACCCTTTTTCTCCCTAATTGTGAAAGCACGGGGTCCATGTTAGCACCAATGCCAATCATCCAACAAAACGTAGTCCATGTTAGCAGCAATGCCTCCTCTATTATTTCCACTCCTGAAGGCTCCATCCGCATAAATCTTAATGAGCGTTTAGTTTGGAGCATGTCACAACCCTTGTGATGGAGAAGTTTAGTCATAGACTAACCTTTGGCGGATGGGATTTGTCATCTCATTCCTGCTATTCCGGTCATATACTACCCACAATATTAATTGGCTACATCCTGGAATCATTAAAACCATCCACATCTACGACAGGAATTATCAATCCATCCACCCAAATTACCATCCATCCCCTATACCAGGGAAAGTGGAAGAACTATTTTCACACAACATAATGGACACTGTTGAATTCATGACCGTCTGAATTACCCTATAGAAGAGGGTCCCAAGCATGTTCCAACGTGAGCCCTATGTTTGAGCTATGCGGTCACCACGCATTTGACAAGTGTTCCTACCATGAAACTAGAATGAGATTGTCTGTCCATATTAACCCAACATAAATATTTTATATAAAGTACCAGCGAATGTCTTAAAAACAACAGCTATCAGTTAGTTGAATTGATGAATAGACAACAACAAAACATGACGTTTGCATAGCTCCTACCCTCAACATGGTAAATTTCCAGTCAGACAAGGATCTCTAGCAGATGAGGCATGCGAAAATCACCTGTATTCTCTCTTTATACACATCCTACAATAACCCTTTTGATTTGGTCCTGGTTCATGACCAGTAGCACCGACCTCACCAGCATGTCTAACCTGAATAATCGTCTTAGAACCAGTAGCAATCCGAGATCTCAATCACTTGAAAGTGAATATCTACAACAAAAAAGTTTAAGCCTCATCTTCTATGCTTCGATTTCTACCTTCTAATTCATCAATTGCAAGGAAACTAGCTCCAACAGGGAATACTTATAAGGCCCCGAAGGAAAATGGCTGACAGACACAATCAATAGCATGGATCAGTTTTCTCCTTGGACCGACCGCATGTGCACCCATATCTTTGAGCTTTTGCATATTTAGATTCACTAACTGGAATTTGTTGATACTTTTGGCCTGAAAAATCCTTACAAACTGATCTAATCCAAGGGATGTCAGCCACCTGGTCAGGCCACCAACTTGTTGAAGCTTCCTCTCGAGATTCGACACCCTCAGCCTTCGGTTCAGAAACATGCTCCCAGAAAAAGTGACATTTGATCTGTGACTCCTGATAGTTTTTGAGGCTTCAGGCAGTCCATGTATTTTATGAGATTTTAAAGTAACCACTTCACCTGGATTCTTTGGCTGCACTCCACAACCCGGCGATTTGCCTGAAGTTGAAATTTGCTGATCAGGAGATCTTCTAGCAATTTCAATACCCTTTTCACGAGCAAATGGAGTCGACTTCTCTCGTCCAGATTCGGATGGCAAATTGGGAAACACTTGAACAGAGAGCTTTGATCGCTCCTTCACTTTATTTTTAGGTGTGCCTTCTAATTGATCAGATCCCTGGTTTGCCATTTTTGAGTTCTTAGACGAAGGTAATGGTGGTATAAGAATGGTGACTATCTGCTTTTTAACTACGACCCAACCAGCTTCCCCAAGCAGGTCCAACTCGCTGTTGCGGTTTGAAGGGCGTAAGCGGTTCTTGTTTGAATGCTTCAGTCCTAACTGCATTTTCTTTGATTTCACCATCGGTAAACACCTATTTGATATATCAGGATAGGTTAAAAGCAGTTAATATTGCAATTGCATCGAAAATGGCACACATAAATGAAAAGAAAAAGAAAAAAAAACAAAAATGTTTATAAGATCGCAGACAAGGACACATGCCAGCAAAGACTTGTTAATTAATCATTTTATTTTCATCATCTTTAATTGTGAAACAAAACTAACATGTAATTTGTAAATCACCATGGATGGAATGAGAAAAAGAAAGTGACCCAATATTTCTGAACTAATCATTAAAATGTCATTTGGCATAGGTTACCAACTCCATGTTTCATTACTTGGGTCTTGAGTACGTACAGAATACTTTTCAAATGATATTTAAAACAACAATAATTAAAAACGATAAATGAAAATAATTGAGTTTCGAAACTGTTTACAAATGAGCCCCACACCCCCCCCCACCAAAAAAAAAAAAAAAAAACAAAAACAAAAGAAATTTGAAGAGAATTGCACAAATTCCCCCTTTCACCTAAATGAACTCAAGACCAATCCAATTAAAAGGCTACCATATTGTCCAACAAGTCTATAGCTAAAGGAAATTGGGTCAACTAAAGTCTGGGTCATACTTGCTCAATGGCTCTGGAATTTCAGCTTGTTACACATGTAGTGCATAGACATACATTGCATTATCCCAAAGCTGTAAATTCATTTTTACTGTCATTAACTGTGCTATAGGAAAGCATAATCTAAACAGTAGATATTCTAGATCATGATCAACACTTTTGATTGCAAAATAACACAGGTTAAATCGCGAAGAGAAGAAAACATTAAAAAATCGAAAAAGGAGCAGCAGCAGCAGAAAACAAAAGATAACAAATCATATTAAATGGCGTATTCACTGCAGGTAATGAATCAATCCAACATTAAGGAATTTCAAGTTCAATGTAACCATAAAAACCACACAATTAGTTTCATTAACCTACACTGGTTGGTAACTTGATCATTTTACATTAACCATAAAAATAAGCAGCAGCATTTTGGATTATTCATCACAAATAACATATTGCTTAGAATCAGAGAGTAGGTTGCCTATAATAAAATAGATATTAAATTTCCTGCAATGTTTTGCAAACACCTCTAGCCTTTCCTTTCTACATGGAATTAAAAAAGAAGTTATCATCTACAAGGCAGTTCATTTGCATCTATATTGACATAACTCAGTAAATAGCTATGCTATCCAACTCGTCATTTCTTCATAAAGTACCTCTATCGATCACCTATGTTCCACACATACTCATTCATGGCTATAAGTGTATGGTCCTCCAAATGTATAAAAAAAATGATACATATTATGTGTGTGTGTTTGACAAATATTTGTATCGAAGACTCGTCCCAACAAATGCATCAATTAGCATTTTTGTAATCCAACAGCTTCACTTCAGCATCACTATTCATTTATCAAAATCAATTCTTATGCAAGACGTCTTTAGGGATTAACCTAGTTAAAGCCAGCTAGCTTACAACATAATCTTGCATATTACACTGATAACAAAGCATGTCCCCATTCCATCCTAAAAAGAAACTAAACAAAAAAATGGTATTGCAACACTGATTTTAATGAAGATGTAAACCTACACTGCTTATACTTAGTTAACAACTGAATGAATAAGTTGATGCAAAGGCTTCATCCAGAACACCCATAATGTTAGAGCTTGAAGCTACTTTTCGTTATAACAGAAGCACAAATCTCAAGCACAATTTATTTTTTATTTTTAAAGAAAAACATACAAACTAACCTGCAAGAGCTTTTTATTGTGGTATTTTGAAGAAAAATCACCAGAAATCAAATGGGTTCTTCCCGATTGATGGCTTAAGATAAATGTATTTAAGAATTTATGTATTAAATATCCCCAAATAGCCACCACAATAAGAACCCAAATACTAGAGGATAAATCCAGAAACATAGTGTAGGTACTGACAAGAAGAAGAAGAAATTACCACGAATACAATAATTATTTGGTTTCATACCTGGGTTTTGATTTTAGATCAAGTCTAATGCTTCAGAATGGGATTTTTATTTTGTTAAAAAAAGAATGGAATTTTTATTTAATTTCGTTTTTATTTGGAAAAAAGAAACTAAACAAAAAAATGGTATTGCAACACTGATTTTAATGAAGATGTAAACCTGCACTGCTTATACTTAGTTAACAACTGAATGAATAAGTTGATGCAAAGGCTTCATCCAGAACACCCATAATGTTAGAGCTTGAAGCTACTTTTCGTTATAACAGAAGCACAAATCTCAAGCACAATTTATTTTTTATTTTTAAAGAAAAACATACAAACTAACCTGCAAGAGCTTTTTATTGTGGTATTTTGAAGAAAAATCACCAGAAATCAAATGGGTTCTTCCCGATTGATGGCATAAGATAAATGTATTTAAGAATTTATGTATTAAATATCCCCAAATAGCCACCACAATAAGAACCCAAATACTAGAGGATAAATCCAGAAACATAGTGTAGGTACTGACAAGAAGAAGAAATTACCACGAATACAATAATTATTTGGTTTCATACCTGGGTTTTGATTTTAGATCAAGTCTAATGCTTCAGAATGGGATTTTTATTTTGTTAAAAAAAGAATGCAATTTTTATTTAATTTCGTTTTTATTTGGAAAAAAGAAAAAGAGAAGAACTGAAAAATGTAAAGCTTTTCCTCTATTTGTAGGATGGGACGTTCTTCCGTAAGGGAATAAAAATAAAATATTTTTTATTTGGGTCAATTGTTAAATAAATTTTAGATCATGACTAGGAATGTAAAAAACAATCTCTAAACTCCAAATGATTCAAAATACATTCGAGTCTGAATTTATGATGATTTGAATCTTAGTTGATCCTGAAAATTTACAACATGCACTCGATTTAGAAACGACATGAACCTTAATTGAAAATGATAATGTAATAATCAAACATGATTTGCATTCGATTTGATATGAATTCAAACCCGAAATTAACTGATATTATTTGATATGTTATCAACTGATCTATTATGAACTTAATTTGTAATTAACTAAACATGTATTAAACCAATCTAATATTTGTCTGACTTGTTATTTACCTAATTTGTAAGTTATAGTTAATAAAGTTGTGACTTGTGAGAATATAAATTTATTATATTATAGTGTGAAAAAATATATCGTCACAAATTAAGGCACATAATTTAGGTGATTTTTTCGATAAATCACCCTTTAAATGTTTATTTACTTGTCAGGCACCGTTCAGACTATATTTTTTAATCTAACACCCTTTGCAGTAAGACGCGTCCCAGAGCCGTGCTTTACGTTGATTTTGCCCCACGTGGGGTAAGGCACGCCTCCTGAAGCGTGCCTTACATTGACATGGATACACGCTGGCTAAAACGCGGCCTCTAAGACGCGGCTTACGCCACGTAGGGTAAAGCGCGGCCCCTAAAGCGCACCTTTGCTTTTTACATTTTTAAATCAGTGACTTGTTCATTATCAAAATAAATTATTTTATCAGCGTCATTTATGAACCCACCGATCTCCCCTATCTGATACCAAAGCATGCTATGTCAGATGGTGACAGACATCTCAGCCAGCCAAATCTTCCAATTACTCTTAGAAAATCTTTACAGAGATTTCTAAAATAGCGCAAAGAGAGGTAAATAAAGTTCATGAGTTTTTACAACTTATAGAGCTTATTACGAAATCTGACTAAAAAGTAAATTATTTATTTAGTAATTTATCTATTATTGTAGTTTTATTTTGGTCACATAATTATTCTTTTTAGATCATATATAATGTTATTTTTGCTACCGTTTTAATCATATATTGTTAAAAGTTTAATTGTGACATTGAAAAATAAAAAAAATTCATCATCTTAATGATTTTATCTATTGTTATAACGGCAAGTAATTAAAATTAAATTAAAATATAATAATAAATATAATTTAAAAATAATATAATTAAATATGTAGAATTGAATTAAAATATAATATTATATATGAATAATTAAGTCGGAAGAATAGATAAATAATTAAATATGTAGTTTATCTTGAAAAAAAACATATGCTTGTTGAAATCATTATGTATTTTCATTCAATCTATCAAAATAATAACAAGTTTATTTAACTAGTTTTTCAGGTTGACTTGTGCTTAATTTGTTTTTCAGGTTGACTTGTGCATCACCATATGGTTGCTAGTTCAGTGCACCTTAAAACCCGTGTTTATTGACGTCGTTGGAGTTGATGGAGCCACTTTTAATCTAATTTTAAGTTTCCATAGCTGTGTTGACCATGTCAGATAGAAATATTATTATATACGTAAAGAATGGCTAAATTAAGGGTCGGTCTTTGAAGTTGAGAGGAGCACATTTTTGGTGAGGGGGTGTTTTGGCATTTTCATTCTATGCCTGTGCTTTGGTATTAGATAAGGAGATTGGCGGGTACATATGAAATAATTTCTTTTGATAATAGATAAGTTACTGATTTAAAAATGTAAAAAAGTAAAGGCGCGCCCTAGGGGTCACGCTTTACCCTACGTGGCGTAAGCCGCGTCTCAGGGTCTGCGCTTTAACCGGCGTGTATCCATGTTAGTGTAAGGCACGTTTCAGGAGGCACGTCTTACCCCACGTGACGTCAAATCAGCGTAAAGCGCAGCTTTGAGTACATCTTACTGCAAAGGGTGTTAGATCGAGAAATATAATCTGAATAATGCTTGACAGGAAAATAAACATTTAAAGGGTGATTTAACAAGAAAATCGCCGATAATTTATTATGATCATTAAACTAATATATTCATTTTTTATATTTATAAATTATAGTATGTAAATATATTTAAATTTTTTGTTAAATTAATAATTTGAGTTTGATAAAATTAATAAAACTAATTCTTTAAAATGTAAAATAAATTATGTTAATAAATTAATAATTATTTTTATATTAATTATGATCAAATTATCAAAAACTTTAATTATAATTTTTAAATTAATTTTACTAAATTAGTTTTATTAAATAATTCATTTATTGATTTGTTTTTGGAATTGAAACTGCCGGAGAATTTATTACCAAATAAAAAAATATGTACAGCTGTGTCCCATTTTGGAAAAGAAAGAAAAAGTCTGGCCATCATTATTTTTTATTAAATAACAAAGCCCAAATACGTACTAAAATTTCACTGTGTCTTTCGCGAGGGTTGTTGTCCATCATCCAACTAAGCCATTCCTTGAAGGTCCACTGTAGGTGTTGTCCAGGCCAAAGGTAATTAAACCCTCTCCATGCTTGTTGAGCCAAATTGCATTCAGTGATGATGCGTTTGCTAGTTTCTTGACGCCAGACAGAATAGTGATTATCCTGTAGGTTAGTTCCGACAGACGATTCACAAGAGAAAATTCGTCCAAAAACCAGAGAAAAAAAGTCTCTAGGGTTTAATAAAATATTATAAAATCAAAACAATGCAAAAAGCAGTCCACAAGCCGGACTGTTATAGCAAAAAAATCGTCTTTATTCGAATTTTGCCAAAAATAGCAAAATCCCGAAAATCACTCTAAATTTTAATTCGAAATAAAATAAGCAATCTCCCAAAAATCCGGCCTAAATCGGATTTAAATTGACTTCCTAATTAACAATCGAAATATTACCATAAATAGTAAAAAATAACTAAATCTAGTGATTCGGAGGGGAAAACGGCAGAATTTGAGGTTGAAAAAAGGCCATGTGGAGAGCGTGCGCGTCGAAAAGAGCTTTCTAGATTGGGGTCTTATGCGCGATTCTGACACCTGTAGCCAAAGTTATGGCCAAAAGACTGAAACATACTCAAAACATACTGAAAAAAAGTTATGGCCAATCTCCTCAGTCTCGTCTTCCACGTTTTCCTCAATCAACAAATTTTTGCCCTTTTGACTAGCAGGCTTCCTGCAATCAGTCGCCCTATGCCCTTGTTCACCACAACGAAAACATCTAATAGTAGGGTTAGAATTACCCTGCGGTGGCTGCTGAGCAGGACGGGACTCTTGAGGGCGAACTGGTCGACTGTTGTGATCGCTCCTAATCACTGGTCTCCTGTTTTGCTGTTTTTCAACAGCAAGTGCACGCTGGTATGCTTCCGAAACACTCCACAATGAATGAAGGCTGAGGACATCTTGCAAGGGCTGACGTAAACCCCCCAAATATCGCGCCACCATCTGCTCCTCCGTCTCAGATAAATCGTTCCGGGCGACCAATTGGTAAAACTCCTCCGTGTAATCATCAACTGATCGCGCGCCCTGCCTCAACGCATGAAGTTGCTGAAATAAGGTTTGCGTGTAGCCGAAGGGAAGGAAGTGGCCCTTCATCTTCTTTTTCATCTTCTCCCAATCAGTGATCTTGGCTTTGCCCTGTCTTTCTCGTGAACGTCGTAACTGTTCCCACCACGCAGATGCTCTGCCCTTGAGTTTGATGGCGATCAGTTTCACTTTCACACGATCGGGGACTTCCTTATATTCAAAAATACGCTCCACTTCATTAATCCAATCCACGAATCCCTCGGCCTGTAATGTACCAGAAAACTCAGGGAGATCGACCTGAAAACCGAGGTCTCCATGACGCTCCTCCCGACCACGGTGCTCCCGGAATCCTGCGTCCCGGAATCCTGCGCGATTGTGATATGGGTTTTCGAAAGTGGAATTGGTATCGTGATCAGAGGCCTCACGATCCTCGAAATCCTGCGCCGCCAGGCGCTGGGTTAATTCTGCGACTTACCTCTGCAAATCCGCAATCATCACATCCTGAACGCTGCGATCACGGCGTTGGGCTTCCTCATTCGGAACCTGCTCACGACGACCACGACCACGACCTCCAGCCATTGAAACTGGTGAAATTTCCCAAGAAGATGTTGAAGCT